ACATCAGGTGTGTTAGAGTGGTGTGTTTGTGTGGTGTGATGATAGAGTAACCATAATTGGTTTTGTTCAGCATTTGCGAAAGAGGGTTTAATGCGAGACAGAACCATACAGGGCTAAGCGCATCCCCTTGGAAGATTCCTCGACGTATTGGAATTTCTGATGTTTCTATACAAGACGTTCCTATGGTTTTTAATGTAGTTGTCCAGTGCTGCATTGATTTTTCAAGAAAATGTATAAGTTGTGGGTGAATTTTATAGTGTTGTAGTTTAGTGTAGGAGCCGCTGTGCGGTACGGAGTCGAATGCTTTCGGTAGTCTATATACATTGTATTGATGTACTTCCTCTTAGAAATAGCGTGTTTCATTGCTACGGAGTCTATTATGAGTTGTTCTTTACACCCCTGTATACTTTTTGGACATCCTTTTTGTTCTTCAGTAAGGATGTTGTTTGTGGCTATATGTTGATGTAATAGTTCGGCTATACATGCTGTAAGTAGTTTATAAATAGTTTGGAGGCATGTGATAGGTCTGAATTTGGCAGAATTTTGATGATCTGCGTCTTTCACAATCATGTATGTGAGGCCTTGTGTCGGGGCATTATATCTGGGTTTTGTATAAAATCATTGATATGGTTATGAAGTAGAGGGTGAATTGTTGAAAGTTTCTTATACCAGTAGTTATGTATACGGTCACTTCCGGGTGCTTTCCAGCTATGGGTTTTTTTAATATATGCACAAATACTTCCAGAGGTATTTGTTCAAATGCCATTGGTGTGATAGTCGATAGATCAGTTACTTTGGAATCTGATTTCAGCCATTCTGCCTCAGTGTTGTGGTGAACCGGTATAGACCAAATACCAGACCAGAAGCTATGTAATTCATTGGCGGCTGGTAATGGTGCATCTTGCCTATTTCTATGTGTGTCGTGTTGTGTGTCTGAAGTCAGGCTCCTATAAAATTGTTTTTCATTATTGATAAACTGGCTATTTTGTGACTTCCTAAGTGTGCAATTAAGGTATCCTTTTAATCTGCTGGATGCCGATTTCAGTTTTTGTTTAAGTGTATCAAGGAATTGTTCATCGCTTAAATTGGGTTCTTCGTGCTGGGAATGTATTCGGTATTTATTTTTTATTGCTTCTACTGAAGTGGTGAGTCTATTGCTTCTATTGCCTTTGGTATATTCTCTTAGCCTTCCAATGTCTCTTTAGAAATCCAATATCTTTCTTTTTAACCTTTTCTGCCAAGCAGGTTCTTTATTTTGACTTTGGGTAGGTGTTGTGTTTATGTCTCTGATTTGGTTCCGTTAGTTATAGCTACTGTGTACGCCACGCAGTAAATTATGGTCTGAGTGGTCTCAAAATCCTGCTCTCTCCATATGTGATTTGGTAATATTTTAGTGTATAAAATCTACAATTTGTGCCAGCCTTTTAGAAGTTTTTTGTTTTGGTATATAAGGTCGTTTAGTTGGGTTGGTATTCCGAAATTTGTCTATTGCTATTCTAAACAGTTCCTGGATTTTTTTCGCGTCATTATTTTCTATTGCTTGGTTTCTTTGAGGTTCAGAGGCTTGAGTAGATATCACTGATTCGTCAGGTTGAGGTTGTAAGGTTAAGTAAAGTGTATGCACGGGAGTGTTACTTTCTATAATGGATGAACGTCGACTTCTTGTGAGTTTTTTCTTTCGGGTGATGAAAGTGATGAATTATTTTCCATATTGTCTCGTCGGGAATTCAGGTTGCTTGCTATATTTTCACGTATATTTTGAAGTCTTTGGTCATTAATCATTTTATTGTTCAATATTACTCTGAGCTGATCTGATATTCGTTGTTCACTTACGCCTGTTACTTCAGGGTGTTCTTCTATGACTGCTTGATGGAGGGGTCTACGGTAAGCTGATTTATTTTCTCAAAGTTTGGTGATTTTATAGTAATTTCTCACAATAGATTCGTTTTGGTCAGCTGTCCATCGTCTTCTTTGTGTCAAGCTTGCTGATTGCTAAAATTTGGTTGCGTGTGTGATTGCGTGATCGAGTCGGTTTGTATATGATTGGTATTACTGTGTGTTTGTTGTAAGTATACTGCAACTTCGTTCCTTATATGATCTAATATTTTTTGGAGAAGTAATTTATTTCTGAATATAGCTCTGCATTGATCTCCCAACCTTTGTCTTGATGCCTGCATCTCCGGATATTTATTAGTGAATTCTTTATGTAGATGATCGAGGTATATTTTGTTAGTATTTAATTTAGTGGCTATAAGGTACGTGCGCCAGATGAATTTATTCATTTCTTCTGTCCATCTTTTGCGCGCACGATTTCTGTCTGGGGCGGGTGCAGGTTCAGTGGCGACAGCCTCCTGCACAACGTCCTCAGACATGGGTAATACAGAGTCTGATCTCGTTGAAGTCTGGTATGAACGTGGAGATGAAATAGATGACTCGAATGAATGAAAAGGTCCCTCACCTTGTCGATGAGATTATATCGCTTAGCATGTCGGAGTCCGTATGTGTCGCTTGGGTCGTTCGACGGATTGCTTTCGTCACTCGGGGATTCTTCGCACCCCTAGGCCCAGTCTCAGGCTGGCTTCCGTCATAACCAGTGCTGCTACTGGGTCCGCCGAGCACTTAGGGCCGTTTAATTCTTGTTAATACCATAATTTTTCTCCATTTGGGTTTGGGTGCGGAAACGTTAGTTGGGGAGGGTTAGCAAAGATGTTAGTGGTCAATAAAATGTACCTCCTGTATCGGTAATTATACAGGGTATGGTCAAGTTCGTAGTGACCGCTGTTAGGTTCATGTCTCCCTTAAGCCCCTCCCACCACGTCAAGGTGGTCCCCGGGGGGGGTTATTATTATTATTATTGGGGGGTATCAATATAGTTTTCTTATCATCATTATTATTATGGGGGGTATAAATATAGTTTTCTAATCTGGTTGGGTTCTATAAATATATAATTATAAATGAAAATGAAAAGATCAATATACATAAAAATCAATAACGTAAATATAATCATATATAAATAAAAGCCCAACCAGATGGAGGCCCTCGGCAGGGGAGACCAAACGGCCGAGGGTTAGGAGGAAAGGGAAAGAAACGGCGGTATCGACGAGCACCGCCTTCTGCATTTGAGCCTGGAGCGGTCCGCCACGTAGTTCCAGCCGCCTCAGATGAACCGAGAGGCTGACTGGGATTAGGCCGTTTGCAGAGACGACTACTCATCACACCTCGTGAGCCGGGTCCAGATATTTTGATTGCTTATCTGTTTCGGCTTTCACGAGGTTTTCGTCATACGGAATTGTAATGTCGACCAAAAATATCCTTGACTGTGCCCGATCCATCAGCACAATATCAGGTTTATTCGCAAGAATAGTCCTGTCCGTGATGAGGGCCCGGTCCCAGTAGAGCTTGGCGCGGTCATTTTCGAGCACGGCTTCCGGCAGGTACTTGTAATACGGCACTTTCCGGTCCACGAGATCGTATTTCAGAGCGAGCTCCTGGTGTAGAATTCTGGCTACTAGGTTGTGCCTGTGCAAGTACTCAGAGTTAGAAAGCGCCGAACAACCGGAGATGACATGCCTAAGTGACTCACCGGGACGGCGACAAGCTCGACAAATGTCGATGGTGCCATCCTTTAGGATGTATCTCCAATAGTTGTTGGTCTTAATAACCTGATCCTGTATTGCACAGACGAAACCCTCGGTTTCCCCGAAGAGGTCACCGAAACGTAGCCAGTTGAGGGAGGCGACTGTATCTACGAAGGGCTCATGTAGAGCCCTGTAGACCACGGATTCCTTCTCCTTCCACGGTCTCCCGGTCGGAAATGCTAAGCACTGCCGGGTCCTGCCATTGCTCGTTGGCTAAGGATAGAGGGGTAAGCCCTTTATCACTAGAAATGACGTCACAATAGATTGGATCATCCGATCTCGCCAGGAAGTAATCAAGGAGGCTGCACACTTCGCGATTGTGCATGGTGAGCGCGCTCAGAAAACCACGCCCACCATGCTTTTGCGGCAAGTACAGCTGCATTACCGACGATTTCGGATGATGTATCCTATGGGACGTCATGGTAGTGCGGACTTTTCTATCCAGGGCGTTAAGTTCGTCCTGAGTCCACCTGAGTATTCCAAAGGTATACATGAGGACAGGCATGACCCAGCCGTTATATGCATGTGCCTTATTCACACTGGACAAAAGGCTGTTAAGCACTTTGATCAAGCGTGCATAAAACGTGTCGCAAACTGACTGTTTCATACCAGCCTCATCGATACCGATGTTTTGTGACATACCCAGGTATCGGTATGTTTCAGCCTCGGAAAGGGTCCTTAAGTTGATGGGCATAGATAAGTCTATGCCATCAGAGTTAGCAACCCTTCCCCCTCTCAACATGGAGGACCGCACACTTATCCGTCCCCAGCTCCATTCCAATAGAATTACTTAATTCACAAGTGACGTTTAGCAATTCCATAAGATGGGAGCGACTGGAGGCGAATAATTTGAGGTCATCCATATAGAAAAGGTGGGTCACTTTTATACCTCCTTTCCGAAGCTGAGATCTCCTCCCGGAACCCCCCAGTAAAGTACTGAGAGGGTTCAAAGAGAGGCAGAAGCAGATTGGACTCAGACAGTCGCCCTGGAATATACCCCTTCTTATCCTTATGCGGCTTTCCGCAGCCGTCATCCGCTCGCCTAGAAGACAGAGGATCGTACTCCACTGCCCCATACACAGCTCGTGGAAGTCTCGAACTGTACAGTCAATCTTGTACACCTCGAGGTCTTATCTTGTACCCTCTTTAGCCATGTATGAGGCACCGAGTCAAATGCCTTTCTGTAGTCTATCCAGGCGGCGGAGAAGTTCAGACTTTTGCGTTACACCACTTTGCCAATGACCGCGTCAATGAGGAGTGGTTCCTTGGTTCCACAACCGCCACCCCAATATCCATTTTGAGCGCGCGACATCACCTGATTTGATTCCAGGTGACGAGTGATTCTAGCGCTCATAATGGATGTTAGTGTCTTGTATATGGTCGGCAAACACGTGATGGGGCGGTATTTGCTCGGGTCTGTGGTAACCTGGTCTTTAGGAACCAAATGCTTGATCCCAGTAGTGAAGAGGCTCGGGAGCTCTGGTCGAGAGCCTCTTGGAACTGTCGGGCGAGCACAGTGTGATACACCACAAGCCCCTTCAGCCAGTAGTGATGCAGCCCGTCGAGTCCCGGACTTTTCCAGTTCGGGGCCCTACGGACCGCCTCAGCTACGTCATCCGGCGTTATAATGACGGGGTCCATGGGCGTTATACTCGCACACTGACTCGCCACAACTTCCGTCCAAGGGCCCTCGCTGTGGTTTATGGGCTCTGACCACAGGCCGCGCCAGAACGCTACAGTGTCGGCCTGATTCGGTGCTGGGCCCGTTCCACTTACCATTGGTCGCTCCAACGATTTATAGTGCCTCTTCTGATCACTCTGGGAAAGGCGATTCTGGTGAAACCGTGTCGACCTCTCGGTATATCGCCGAATCCCCTTTCTCCAAGCAGCGATTCTCTGCTTCAGGTCATCTATGCGCTCCGTCAGTTTTTGCATTATATCCGGCTGGAACAAACTAACATTTGTCCCAGCAAATGCCATCCTGACGGTGCGCACAATCCTTGGCCTGTTGTTGCCTGACCTGAAGCATATCAGTCTGCCAATGAGGGCCCTAGGCTTTGTGATACGTTCCTCAATTCTTATTTTCCAGGCTGGAATAGCACTACTTTGTCCAGTAGCGCGTCCAGCCGTGGAAATTTTGGCGCCTATAATACGGCACACTGCCAGTGCGGCGCCAAAAAGAATTGTGTCCGTCTCGCAAAGGTCCCGGCTGGCTTTCAAATAGGTCACCAGCATTGGGTTCAGAGCCCTCACGACAGCCCGATTCCGCTTTTTAGGGCTATGCGGGGAAGTCGCGGTCGATTTTCGAGAGGCGTACTGTACGTTTCCGCAATCTCCTCTTCCAATGTACTCCTCATAAGCTCTAATTTTAGTTCCTGGGCGACTGTTCCATCATCGTTTGAATCAACCACAACTGGGGTATTCACGGCGGCATTCACGTTTGCGGGTCTCCATTTGTGGCGCCCTCCTCCCTTTTCTCCAAGGAACCCTATATCGTTCGAGTTCGGCGACATCAAATATATTTGAGCGCAAGATATACCGAACCCGGTCTGCCAGGTTTTACTCTGAGACGGTTAAAGATGGCTCCAGCTCAGCAAAAAGACGATGCATCCTAGCTCGATACGCCAAACCTCCAACTTCTCCCCCTTTCGCCCTAAAATACGCCCGCAATGCGTTAGTATTTATTTCGGTTGTCCATCGCATGCGGCGTACTCCACCAGTGGCGGGCCGATTGCTGGGCCCGCGAAGACCTTGCCGCCACCAAGACAGCTGGTGGGGATGATGGATGCGAGGGGCTGAATGGTGGTCGTGCAGCACCTCTCGCTCGGCTGGCGGTTCGCATGCTGTCGCGTCCAGCGCCAGCTCCAGACGCGCCCTGGCGACCTCCAGGCAGCGGCCCTTTGCGCGTTTTTGCATATCGACGACGAAGTGGCAATTACTCCTAACTCAAAAACCACTACTTTACAGGAGACGAAAAAAACGTTTCACTTAATTTTACGTATACTTTTGGAATATTGTAAAGTTTTAATTTTGTTACAGGAAGATAAGAATCAAGACTGTATTGTTAAATATAGTGAAATATTACAGGTTTCTGAAATATTACTACATAGGAGGAATTGTTACAACTTTTTTTTTAATTTTTTTTCTTTTATTGAGATAGCAGGTATTGCAACGGAAAAAAAACTGTATTTTTTTGAATAATCACTATTCATTTATCACTTTTAGTGAAACTGGCGGAATAAGCTTAGTCTTTTAATTATTCTTTAATTGTATCACAAACATTGTATGTTCAAAAATCTACAGTGTTGTTACAATAATCTAAAATACAAGTAGGCACCAATTTTTTAAAAGTAAAGACACATAACAAAAAAGATAACTTGAAATCTGAGAACTACAAATAATAAATCAACGATTAACTGGACCTTATCATGATAAAAAAATCAGCTCAATTTGTAAGAAATATATTCGTGTCTGTAGATATGACTTGCTGTTGAATATACTCACAATCTTCTGATTACCTACATAACTAAAACACAAGTAGAAGTATTCGCTTATAGAACTAATACCCAAATGTTTACAAAATTAGTAAAATATGACAAATATCTAAGAACTTAACTAGGTACCTACTAAAATACAAATTAACATTAGTTATACCTCGTTACATTTGTAAACAAAAAATGTTGCATTAATAACAATCATAAACCTTTTAAAAAGATAAATTGTAATTAAAGAAACAAAACACAAGGAACATAATTGTTACATCCACCTACTACATCATGGCATAAAATAGTGCAATTATAATAAAACCCTGCATATTCGAAAGGCAAAGAGTTGTAAAAGGTATGACAATCGTTAGGAAGTACTGTCTTTAATTGCTGAAGATGATTGAATTTTGTAGCTTTTATTGGAATTCTATTCGAATACATTTGACGATGAATACATTTCGGAACTTATAATCTTGGGTCTCTGTGGAAGAGAAGTCCAATCTTCATCAAAGTTGAGCTTTACTTCATCTGTCATTGTGTTGTATTTTATGGCTCTTATGTCTACTACTTATGGATCGCTAGCCCTACGCCCAGGTCTTATACTTTTGTAATACCAATTTTCAGTATCAGCGTAGTTTTTTACAAACTTGTAGTCAACTTGAATAAATTCATAAGGATTTATCCTGCGTGCTTCCTTTGTAATTTTACTGTAACCGCTTGGTAAGTGAATTTTCTCGATTTTTGAGTTTTCGTTCGATTGCCGCATGGACAGAGTCGCACTCCATTTGCGTATGTCCTGGTTCTAGAAACTTTTGAGTTATAGTGATATTATTGTACTTTTTACTTAAGGGTTATTGTACTTTTTTTTTACAGCAGGGTATTTGACATAATAGTATTACGATTTTGATACGTACACCCATCTGAATAAATTACGATCGGTAGGAGTTGGTGAACGCAATGTCTTTCGATGTAATCCACTAAAAATGACACAAATGTACTTGCAGTTAAGTCAGCCGATGTTTCATCAAACCAATAGCAAGTGCAATGTGTACTAATTAAATTGAAAACTGTGAAGTTATGGACTGTTAATTTGGTTTTAAAGTATAACGCACTAGCGGTTAAAAAGGGACTACATAACCTTTACAGATTCTAAATCCATGCTCAGTAAAATAAATTCCCCGTCAGCAGCTTTCTTTTTATCAATTTCCTTTTTTTATCTAGAAAATTGTTTAACGTCAATAACTTTTGCGTATTATCGGATCTTGATGTAGGATTGCGGACTAAGTTTCTTAATTCTTGATGTGGTATCATACCAAACTCATTATTTTTTGTCCAAGAACGTACAGTAAAAGTTCCCAGCAAAAGCGTGTTAAGGAACATAGTTCTACACACTTGTACTTTATCTGATCCGTCACTATTGATAGGCAAAAAATATAATGCAGTTTCTGTACGCCTGGAATGAACATTGTTTGTTGTTTTTTGAGCAGTTTTTGAGCGTTTCACTAGAGAGACTAGATTTTGCGTTCCCAATCCATTTGCTTCCAAAAGAATCTGTGTATATGTTTTCTACAGTCTTCACTTAATTGAGAACACTCTCTTAACTTACTTTTAACACAATAATCAGACTTGCATCGTTCTCCCATTATTCGAGCAGATCTTAAAGTATTCTGTAAAAATTTTCTATTTGCTGGTTTTGAATATCCTAAGCACTGCTCTCCTTGCATAATACGTAATTTGGCTTTGTTTCTCTTCCACGTATTTGGCAAGGCCTTGTGGCGACGCTTCCTACCCTCGTTGATATCCTCAATATCTGTATCTGTATCAATGTCGGTTTCTATGTCAGAATCATTACCACTAAGATTTGTTAAGTTATTATGAAAGGTTATCCATAGTGAAGTGTTATCAAGATGAGAATAAACAGCTTCACAATTCTGATTCAGCAGAGGAAATGACATCGTTTTTTTAAGCTGCTGAAGGGGTCACGGTATCAAATTAGAAAGAGACCAAGATTTAGTTAAACGGTTGCTGCAATGCCAGTTGTGTGATAGTTATTTTTGTATATTGATATTGTGTCATCATCAGCTAAATAAGAGCTCCGAACAGCTAGTGATTGTGGATGAAGGCAAGCATTAGTTAGTTCAACATAGCGATTTATTTGCGAGAAACGACCTAAATCATTATACATATTCAAGAACACTGAGTGAGTTAGACTTAAGATAAGGTTCAATATCAACCCCTATTAAATCTAATTGATTCTAGATTCTAGATAGATTTTCATCCCATGCACAACTAACATCAACCTGCTCGATGAGTCGAGCGAAAATTAACCGTTATTCAGTCGGCTACTAGATCACCATGAAACGGACGTGCCACAGCTTAGATAGGATAAATTGCCAGCAATTTTTTTTAGATTAACTAAGAAGGTATTGCCACACCTCAATATCTTGCTCAATTTTGAGTCCTAAAGACCTGGTGTCTTCATGAGGACCTGAATTAGGTAATTTTAAGTATAACTATGGAATAAAAAAAAATTCGCAAAAACTGAGATAGGAGTAATTGCCACTTCGTCGTCGATATTCCATCATTATTATGGGGGGTATCTATATAGTTTTCTCATCTGGTTGGGTTCTATAAATATATAATTATAAATGAAAATGAAAAGATAAATATACATAAATATCAATAACATAAAATAAATATAAAAGTACATAAATAAGTAAAAGCCCAACCAGATGGAGGCCCTCGGCAGGGGAGACCAAACGGCCGAGGGTTAGGGGGAAAGGGAAAGAAACCGGCGGACGATGCGGTCGGTATCGAGGAGCACCGCCTTCTGCATTTGAACCTGGAGCGGTCCGCCACGTAGTCCCAGCCGCCTCAGATGACCCGAGAGGCTGACTGGGATTAGCCCGTTTGCAGAGACGACTACAGGAATAATTTCGGTCGGCAGACCACCCCACATGTCGGTCACCTCGTGAGCCAGGTCCAGATATTTTGTTTGCTTGTCTGTTTCGGCTTTCACGAGGTTCTCGTCATACGGAATGGTAATGTCGACCAAAAATATCCTTGACTGTGCCCGGTCCATCAGCACAATATCAGGCTTATTTGCAAAAACAATCCTGTCTGTGATGATGGCCCGGTCCCAATAGAGCCTGGCGCGATCATTTTCGAGCACGGCTTCCGGCAAGTACTTGTAATACGGCAATTTCCGATCCACGAGACCGTATTTCAGAGTGAGCTCCTGGTGTAGAATTCTGGCTACTAGGTTGTGCCTGTGCAAGTACTCAGAGTTAGAAAGCGCCGAACAACCGGAGATAACATGCCTAAGTGACTCACCGGGATGGCGACAAGCTCGACAGATGTCGACGGTGCCATCCTTTAGGATGTATCTCCGATAGTTGTTGGTCTTAATAACCTGATCCTGTATTGCACAGACAAAACCCTCGGTTTCCCCGAAGAGGTCACCAAAGCGTAGCCAGTGGAGAGAGGTTACGGTGTCTACGAAAGGCCCATGTAGAGACTTGTACCTCCCGGGGCTCCTTCTCCTTCCATACGGTCTCCCGGTCGGAAATTGTCTGCACTGCCGGGTCTTGCCATTGCTCGTTGGCTAAGGATAGAGGGGTAAGCCCTTTATCACAAGAAATGACGTCAACTTATAGAATGGATCATCCGATCTCGCCAGGAAGTAATTACGGAGGCTGCACACTTCGCGATTATGCATGGTGAGCGCGCTCAAGAAGCCACGCCCACCATGCTTTCGCGGCAAGTACAGCCTCATTACCGACGATCTCGGATGATGCATCCTGTGGGACGTCATGGTAGTGCGGACTTTTCTATCCAGGGCGTTAAGTTCAGTCTGAGTCCACCTGAGTATGCCAAAGGTATACATGAGGACAGGTATGACCCAGCCGTTATATGCTTGTGTCTTATTCACACCGGACCAAAGGCTGTTAAGCTCTTTGGTCAAGCGTGCATAAAACACGTCGCAAACTGACTGTTTCATACCAGCCTCATCGATACCAATGTTCTGTGACATACCCAGGTATCGGTATGTTTCAGCCTCGGAAAGGGTCCTTAAGTTGACGGGCATAGATAAGTCTATGCCCTCAGAGTTAGCAACCCTACCCCTCTCAACATGGAGGACCGCACACTTATCCGTCCCCAGCTCCATTCCAATGGAATTGCTAAATTCACAAGTGATGTTTAGCAGTTCCATAAGATGGGAGCGACTGGAAGCGAATAACTTGAGGTCATCCATATAGAAAAGGTGGGTCACTTTTGTCCCTCCTTTCCGTAGCTGAAATCCCCTCCCGGAGCCCTCCAGTAAGGTACTGAGAGGGTTCAAAGAGAGGCAGAAGCATATTGGACTCAGACAATCGCCCTGGAAGATACCCCTTCTTATCCTTATGCGGTTCTCCGCAGCCATCATCCGCTCGCCCAGATGACAGAGGATCGTACTCCACTGCCCCATACACTGCTCGAGGAAGTCTCGAACTGTACAGTCAATCTTGTACAGCTCGAGGACCCTCTTTAGCCATGTATGGGGCACCGAGTCAAATGCCTTTCTGTAATCTATCCAGGCGGCGGAGAACCGGTTGCTTTCACCACTTTGACAATGACCGCGTCAATGAGGAGTGGTTCCTTGGTTCCACGACCGCCGCCCCGACATCCATTTTGAGCGCGCGACATCACCTGATTTAATTCCAGGTGACGAGCGATTCTTGCGCCCAAAATGGATGTTAGTGTCTTGTATATGGTCGGTAAACACGTGATGGGGCGGTATTTGCTCGGGTCTGTGGCACCCTGGTCTTTAGGAATCAAATGAGTGATCCCAGTAGTGAAGAGGCTCGGGAGCGACTTCTGGTTGAGAGCCTCTTGAAACTGACGGGCGAGCACAGAGTGACACACCATGAGCCCCTTCAGCCAGTAGTGATGCAGCCCGTCAAGCCCCGGACTTTTCCAGTTCGGGGCCCTACGGACCGCCTCAGCTACGTCATCCGGCGTTATGATGACGGGGTCCATGGGCGTAATACTCGCACACTGACTCGCCACAACTTCCGTCCAAGGGCCCTCGTTGTGGTTTACGGGCTCTGACCACAGGCCGCGCCAGAACGCGACCATGTCGGCCTGATTCGATGCAGGGCCCGTTCCACTTACTATTGGTCGCTCCAATGATTTATAGAGCCTCTTCTGATCACTCTGGAAGAGACGGTTCTGGTTGAACCGTGTCGACCTCTCGGTATATCGCCGAATCCGCTTTCCCCAAGCAGCTATTCTTTGCTTCAGGTCGTCTATGCGCTCCGTCAGTTTTTGCATTATATCCGGCTGGGACAAACTAACATTTATCCCAGCAAATGCCATCCTGACGGTGCGCACAATCCTTGGCCTGGTGTTGCCTGACCTGAAGCATATCAGTCTGCCAATGAGGGCCCTAGCCTTTGCGATACGTTCTTCAATTCTTATTTTCCAGGCTGGGATAGCACTACTTTGTCCAGTAGCGCGTCCAGCCGTGGAAATTTTGGCACTTATAATACGGCACACTTCCAGTGCGGCGCCATTAAGAATTGAGTCCGTCTCGCAAAGGTCCCGGCTGGCTACCAAATAGGTAACCAGCATTGGGTTCAGAGCCCTCACGTCAGCCCGATTCCGCTTGCTTAGATTTAGCGAGCTTGCGATTTTCGAGAGTCGTACTGCGCGTTTCCACAATCGCCTCTTCCAATGTACTCCTCATTTGCTCTAGTTCCAGTTCCTGGGCGACTGTTCCATCATCGTTTGAATCAACCACAACTGGCGTATTCACGGCGGCATCCACCCGTTTGCTCGTTGTTCCTTCACCCACCCTCACTTATTCGAGTTCGGCGACATCAAATGTATTTGAGCGCAAGATATACCGAACTCGGTCTGCCAGGTTTTGCTCGGTGACGGTTACAGATGGCTCCAGCTCAGCAAAAAGTCGATGCATCCTTGCCCGATACGCAAAACCTCCAGCTTCTCCCACTTTCGCCCTAAAATACGCCCGCAATGCGTTGCTGTTCATCTGGGTTGTCCAACGCATGCGGCGTACTCCACCAGTGGCGGGTGCCGATTGCTGAGCCCGCGAAGACCCTGCCGACACCAAGGCAGCTGGTGGGGATGATGGATGCGAGGAGCTGCTGGGTGGTCGTGCAGCACGACCGCCCTGGCGACCTCCAGGCAGCTTGCGCGTTCCATTGCATCCCAGGCGTCAGCGGGAGACGCCCAGCCGCGCCGCTGAGTCCATGTGCACAAGCGGGCCTTGGCACCTTCAATTTTTGCCGAGGCACGGCACTACACCTCTTGCAAGGTGCTACTACTGCGCCGACGTAGTTTTGCATATTCCCTACGCCTTTCCATCATTATTATTATATTATTATTATTATTATTATCCTGTCCTACGCCGATGGCTAGTCTCCGTTGAGGCAGGCCGCCGTGACCGAAATTTGGTCTGGAGGACATTATTATTATTATTATGTATGAAGCCTATACCCCTCCTGATTTTGACTTTTATGTGTTCGTAAAGTTTCATCGCAATTGGTTCAACCAATCCGAAGATTAACTTGGATACACGGACAAAACCGATAGACAAAATTAAAAAAATGGTTATTTATTTCTTAATAACTGCCGGACTTAATAGAATTCAATGATTTTAATTTTAAAGACAGACACTTCAAATTTATTTAAAGATTAAGGTTTTTTTTATAAATCTGCAATTCGATTAACAACTAAACATAACTTAATTAAAACACAACTAGAGATTGTTGGAGATGGTCAATCAATTTATTTACCTAGGAGATATAAAAATTCAACTAAAGTAACATATTAGTGGCCTAGATGTTTGAGGGGGATAAGTCGCTCGCGTCCGTAGGCTTTGACCACCTCTTCCTAGGCCCACCCTACACGTGACCCCCGGGTGGTGCTAAATGAGCGACAAGCCGATAGCACAGACTCGCTCCACGTGGTAGCGGCGTAAAATACTCTACCCATATTCGCACCATGAGGAACCATATAAAAGAAATGGCCCCGAGTTCCCGGCGCCCCTTTAATGGTGCAGAGGTGCGAAGAATCTCTGGGAGGAAAACCGGCGACGAGGTTCGCCACCCGTCACGTTCTGTCTCCCGGAGAGGCGAAAAGTGGATTGCAGAGGCCCGTCTGGCTACGTCGAATGTATGTGAGGCAATGAATGATAAAACGGATGAAGTATGCGATATGATGTATGATAGAGGAATAAATGTGTTATGTGTAAATGAGACGAAAAGGAAGGGGAAGGATGTCACTGCACATGGCATGTATACCGCATACTGGTCTGGTGTAGACGAGATCGAGCGGGCATGCCAGGGAGTAGGTATCATCCTTTCAGAAAGAATGGGTCAATGTGTGAAAGAGTATGAATGTGTAAGCCCAAGACTGCTATGGATACGAATGAAAGTGGGCTTAAAGAAGTTGTTTGTGTTAGGGGTCTACGCCCCAGACATGTCTAAGCCCACTTATATCCGAGAGCAATTTTGGGAAATGGTAAGTATGGTGTTAATGAAGTGTAAGGGAAATGAAAATATTATTATGCTAGGAGATTTTAATAGAAGGGTTGGGGTGAGGAGGCTTGGTTTTGAAAGGATATTGGGAACGTTTGGTGATGAATATATAAATGAGAATGGTGAAAGTCTCCTCACCGTATGTATGGAAAAGAATCTTTTTGTGAATAACACTTGCTTTCGCCACAAGAAGATTCACATGTATACTTAGGAAAGAGGTGACGATAGAAGCATGATAGATTTCATAATTGTGGATGAAAGATTGAGGGGCGCAGTGGTAGATACAAGGGTTTACCGAGGTTCTAACGTAGGAACAAATCATTATTTGGTTTTATGCCGAATTAATGGTCTATTCAGGCGTTGGCGCCATCGGTCATCTGTGTCTACCACTGCGTTACAGCGTATTAGAACAGAAAGATTACAAGATGAAGGTGAGAAAAACAAGTTCAAATGTAGACTGAAAGAAAATATAAATGGTTTGGATGAATTATGTATGAAGGAGTTAGACTTGGAGAATGTATGGCAAAATGTAAAGAAAGGTTTAGTGGATGCAGTTACCGAAGTATGTGGTGTTAGTAAGAGAAAGAATGAAAGGAAAAATAATACGTTATGGTGGGATGATGAGATACGTATGGAAGTTGAAGCAAAGAAGAGAGCATGGCTAGATTTACTAGCAACAAAGGCTGGCCAAAAACCAAAAGGTTTTTTGTGCGTTCATGGACTTGAAAAAGGCCTATGACAGAGTTGATAGGGATATGCTATGGCAAACACTGAAATCATTTGGGTTGAGCGCAGGCTTGATACAGGCATTGGAGTCCCTTTTATAGGGACTCTAGTGCTTGTGTTAGGATCAACGGTGTCTACACGGACTGGTTTGACATCCATAAAGGTGTCAGATAGGGCTGTGTTGCTTCCCCGTGGCTGTTCAACCTATTTATGGCAAAATTTGAAAGTTGAAGAATGCGGACTAAGAATGGGTGAGTTAACCGTCAAATGCCTTTTGTACGCCGTTGATCAAGTTATCCTTGCGTCGTCGGCGGCCGAGTTGCATATGATGGTCACATTATTGAACAGATCATTAAAAGAAAGGGGTATGAAAGTAAATGCAAGTAAGACGAAGGTTATGGTTTTTGAAAGAGAAGAAATTAAAACGATTTGTGAAATAAGAATAGAAGGGGAGTTGATCGAGCAAGTAGAAGAGTTTGTATATTTGGGCTGCGTATTTAGCAGGGATGGGAGATATGATCGGGATATAGAACGACGAGTGAATGCAGGAAATAAAATAAATGGGGCCCTACACTTTATTGTGAAGAGTTAAAATGTGTCGAAAAAGGCACGTATGGCAATTCACAATGCTGTGTTGGTCCCTACTTTAACGTATGGTAGTGAAAGTTGGGTGTGGCAGAAGAAGCACGAGAGTAGAATGATCGCCGTAGAAATGCGGTCGTTAAGGAGTATGTTAGGGCTGAATCTGAATGACAGGGTAAGAAATTGTGTAATAAGAGAAGAGTGTGGTTTGCAGGATGATGTTGTGACCAGGATTAAGAAAGGAATGCTTCGTAGGTTTGGTCATGTGGAAAGAATGGATGAGGAAAGACGGACAAAGAAAATTTATGAATGAATGAATGAATATACTTTTATTGTACACCACAAACAAATATACAGTTAACAAAACACAAAAAAGATTATAATATTATGTAAGTACAATTTGGCGGCTTTATCGCTACATAGCGATCTCTTCCAGGCAGCCAAAATAAATTTATGTTGCAGAAGTGAATGGCAGAGTCGGAAAGGGACGTCCTAGGCGAAAATTTATCGACCAAATTGGCGATTTATTAAAAACGGGCCAAATTAGGAGTACCCTTAACCGACGAGCATATATGCGTAGGTGTATGGATGTGAAGGAGGCGAGAGAGGTGTGTCAGGATCGTGCCAAATGGAAGTCTGTAGTCTCTGCCTACCCCTCTGGGTGACGGGCGTGAGTGTTTATGTAGATTTTTATGGGTGAATCAGTGAGTGATAAAAATAGCACTTTTTAATATTTTATACTTCACCTCCGTAATAACTCAAGAACAATAATTGTTTTATCAATTAAGTAAGAGATTCTGGGTAATTAAATTAGACGTAAAGAATTTGATATATGTTAGTCTAATAGTTTTTGAGTTACGTAGTTTTTTTATATAGGATAAGGGTGAAAAACGAGCACACAGTCCATCTGATGGTAATTGGATGCTGTGGCCCATAGATATTTACATTCGATTACGAATTGAAATGCAGATGCGTTGTCACCCCTGAGGACTAAGATGGAATGTCTCGATCCCAGTAAAACGGGTCTCCGGTCCCACTGCTGGAGAGTCGCAGCTTTCCATTCCGGAACTTGATTATGTCAAAGCAAAATAATAAAGAACTCAACAATATCATCATAAATAGCACTTTTATCAGGGAACCTAAGAAGCAAGTTATGTTATTATCGAAATTGAATAGGCCGGATCGACCAGGAGGACCACGCTCTTGGAAAACACCAGCGTCAATATTTCGTATGTTGAGTGTAGAGAACCCAATACCCTTTTTACTGGAAAAGAAGCATTCCGTCTTACTCCCCACGGGTAACAACCTATATGCATTTTGATTCGTAGTCCAGGATAGATGTGGATGTGTATGAGCCACAGCAACCACTTACTATCACTGTGTGCTCGTTTGTCACCCTTATCTTATTAAAAAAATAGGGAGTGTAGTTCCAATCTCTTTAGTTGTGGAAGTGACATAAAATATAAAAAACTATCTTTTCAATAAAACTTTACGCAATCTGGTTTTTTATCGCTGTGTTAAACATCGTGCTTGTTGAACTCACAGATAAGTAAATTAACAGTAAAGTTCTTTCTTAATGAGTTCCCCTTGAACCTTTTGACACGTCGCAATATCATAAAATCAATATTTGGCTTTCTTTTTTAAAGTATTAAAAATTACGCTGATGACCTTATCTTCACCCGCATTTTACCCCAAAAGCTCTTTTTATCGGATTTTAAAAAAGAGGATTGTTTGATATCATTTGACTGCGGTTTTAATTAAATTCGATGAAAATATTCCATCCCTAAGAGATGAAAATAGATGTTTATTTTTTATACTATAAAAACGGCATTTCACTGCCACCTGGAGCTTATGTTATTGCTTTTTCCACTCAAAATCTCACCTAATTAAACACTCAATCATTTATTACAGCCCTTTACAAGTTTATTACTGAATAGACTTGTGATGTTGATGATGATTAGGAAGATGCTACTGCCTATCTTCTAGGTAGTTTCCGTATGCAACATCCACAGGACGATGTTTGGTGGAGGATATTATTCAAATACCTTGAATATACTTGATTTAAATATTGTTTGTTACGATATTTAAAATATAAGGGAAATGATTAAAAAAATTACGCCATTATAATAACTATAACCTAAGGCATTCCTAAATCCAATTTTTGGGAATTGATGACTTGACAGAAATTAAAGTTGATTGCAGACAACGAGGAAACACGACTTCAGCTTTCTCTTGGTTCAAATGAAGTGTGCTTCACTATTGAATATATTATATTACATAGTACTTATACATTTTATAATAGTATACACTTTGATTAGGAGGTAATATTAGACGTATAAATCAAGTAGAAACAATCCCATTGAAATGCTGACATTAAACGTCTTTCGCTATTGAATATAGAAAACGTTCTGCAAATTAAACGGCTTATTAAATAAAGAGATTGAAGTATACCCGAAATCAACCGTACAAGCACGCACGCACCCACGCATG